CTATCTTCTCCATCTTGTCACTTTACTGTGCTATTTTCACATTTATCTATGATATGCGTTTTCCTTTGTCTTGTTCGATCTCTACAAGAGAAGAGCGAGAAGAATGATAAAGATAATGGCTGATAGTTAGATTCGATTTGCTATAATCAATATTTGAAAGTAGCACAACAACTTTTCACTGCAGAAAATGCATTCCAAACCAACAACAATCAACAAAGAAGAATGTCGGTTTTAGAAAGTCGAGTAGAAAGTCAAAATGATTGGCAACTTTTCCTTTTGTTGATCAAGTTGTAAAACTGATAAGCATACGTCATATTCAGCGTGGAAATTTAGAAGATAAAAAGTGTAACAGTCAAAAGTCAAGCAAGAATCAAAATTTAAAGACAAATATTTACAATTTAGAAAATATGTTCATTAATACTGAAGAAACTAATTATTTCAGTACCATTAATCATGATTAGATGTAGTACAAAGGACGAGTATTCAGGTTGAGATGATGATAAAATTAAAATTTCTTGCTCATTTAGTAGATGTGCCAAGCAAAATTAAACAGAGTTATGTATGAAGGCAAGAGTACATAAGTTTCAATTCAAATAATCTAATAAATGAAACAAATCTATTAAGTAGAAATTCAAACATGAGTTATATACGTAGGTATATAGATATTTGAAATAAACTCACTGTGATTTAAAATTAGTCAATGAATATCAAATTATAAATTTCATTTATGTTAATAATTTTCATAATTTTATTCTATTGAATCATTATTTATTACATTAAACTATCCTACTAATACCATGATAAATAGGATAATATAAGTGTTGGAAGTTTATGTTTATGATTTTTCTTTCTTTTCTTTTTTCTTGTTTTTATCATTGTTTTCTATTTGCATAAAATCGAAAATTCCTATATTAATAAAATTCTGCATTAAAAATTTCTCCATTTATTTCATTTATTAGATTAATTAAACAGAGTTATTAAAAGACTTATACTTGATATTCTATATTTCTATTAAGTTATGTTTTATTTTGATTGAAATTCAGCTAAATTTAGGAAGATGTAGAGTACGCTAGTATATTTTGATGAAATCTAGTTGAGTTTTCAAAACTGAAAAATTCTAAATAATAGACGTTATTTGTTATTCGAAGATAGGTACATTTTAATCTTTCAATAAAGTTATTGAAGGTTTGTTTTACTCTTCTGATGTTTTCTTGTCGTACAATTTTGTATATAAACAATTTATTTTGATTCTCATCTTTAGTCATACATTCTGTTTATTCATAGAAATCTCGATAAATAGATTCATGTAGACATCGTCTTTCTTATTATGTTGCCTAAGTAAAATAGTAACAACAAGAATACCGATAAACTCTAATCTCTTGAAACGAGTGATTTATATATGACAACTATGAAAATAGATAATAGCATAGAATGAAGCACATAAATGATTCAATAATCAATCGTAGTATACTTCAAAGATGTTGCTATTCGTTGATAAAGTCCTCTTGTTGATAAATAGCACAATTTCTACATCTCAAATTTGATCAATTGATAAAAGAAACACCTATTCTAGTTACGTTGACAGAAAACGCTTGTTCGATCAAGAAAACAAGAAGGAAGACTAAGGTTCTGTTTATTCTATATGTTTTGAATTTTAATTTAAAAAATAGATGTTTAAGTGTTCAGAAACGACACTTATTGTTAATATTGATAATAAATTTTTTTTCTGATATTTTTCTTTTTTAACATGAAAAAAAACAAAATTTTATAAAAATTGGTAAAAGATGTAGATTCTATATAGTTAGGGACGTATCAGTACCAGTTTAACTATTTACACGTTTAACTAGTATCAATTTACTAGTTGGGACTCATATTCAGTTATCTGAGCCTATTTTAACTAGTACTGGTACATTCCTAGCCTATAGTTCATCAATAAACTATGTAGGCATTTGTCGCGTCATGCACGAGCCATTTTAACATAAACACGCTTATAAACATGGTACATCGATTCAATATACTAACACTGATTTATTAGTTTTTGCATCATAGCAAAAGTTTGAAGCTAGTATTTTGTACGACAAAAGATGTGCGACATGAAAATGCAAAAAAGTCAATTAAAATTTGGTGAACACTTATTTGTAAGACGATGCAGAATATTTTCATTCATAGATTGCATGATCATTGCCTTTTCTCAAAATTTACTATTTAAAAATTTAAAATGTTCACTTGCTTGTTCGTGAAATTGTTGTCGAGATTTGACTTCTAATGTTGAAAAAGAAGTCATTGCTGTACTTATGATGCGATTAAATATGTAAAGATGAATGCTTTGTTGTTTAATTTAAATAAATAGATTCGCTCTTTCGCGCTTAACTAAAACGAATTCTGTCTAAGTCAAAAGTTTTCTCTAGTTCGTTAAGTAGGAACCTTCTTTTCACCATATGAATACATATATTCACACAATAGATTGAAGAAAATTTCGGAAATTATCGAAACTTTCTGAAAAGCAATGTTTTTTTAGAACGGTTCGTTTCAATTGCTTTAATGGTAATTTTCGAACTTTCTAATTGGTATGGTATTTCTGTGGGAGTAATTTATGAGTAGAATTAATTTTTTTTTGAAATCGAAATACTGCTGGAGAAGGCAGCTACTATTTTACCACAGGCCATACATGAGCTAAAAGATCTTTCATTTCGTTTCGTGGAGTTCGAAAATAATTCTACAACACTTAACAGTATAACATATTTCTACTTTGTATGTTATATATAAACCATGTTAAACGCAAATACATAAGGTACCGAAACAAATTCTACTCAGCTCAGACAGCATAAATTTAATCATCCCTTCTTTTTCTTTTTTTGTTGTTGTTGAGAGTGATGGCAAAGTCTACGTCTTCCTAAATTTTAATTAAATTTGAACATAACTTGATATATAAAATCAGTTCTTTACTTCCATCTCATTCAATGCTTTTTAATTTTTAAGTCTTTTGAAAACTTATGTTTAATTTTGCCGAAGGCTTAACTTTGTCTGACGTATATATATATCGTGTGTTTTTTCTCGACATTATTTATCAGCAAGAGCGGTGAATTAAATACTCAACCTGCGAATGCTCATAAATCGGATTTTTTCATAAATTGCTTTTTGTAAAAATTTTTTTATTCTTAATTAATTCAGAAAATTTGACACATCAAAGATGAGCTAAGGAGGATAATAAGTTTTGTGCAGATTAAAATTTTATTTTATTTTTTAATTTGTTTAACGCTTGAGAAATAAGGAGTAGTACATTAAAATACATGTATATATATATATGTATATACTTATGGAGTACAAAATGAAAAGAGTTTCATGACTCTTGTGAATTTTATATTAAAAACACGAAAAAAAACCAATGGCATTTCTGATGATAGAACGAGCATAAAAATTGATGTTTTTGACATTTATTGGTTCAAAGCGACATTTATATTAAACAAATGCAATGAATTTGATTATGATTGAAAATTTCGCAATTAAATTGATGAAAATACCCGTTTCAATCAATGAATTTGAAATACATCATTTTTCTTTGTCCGTTTCATCATTTGAATATATTTTTTCTTATTTGTTTTACTCTATGAATATGCACACTCAATCATTTTTTTGACGTTTTAATATATAAACAGAAAAAAGCTTTGTTAATGATGTGTAATCATAGGTTAGAAGGTTTTAGCGTGTATACTTTTTATTGTTTACCGTTTTAGAATAATTCAAATGCGTAAAATATTGACATTCTTCACAGTTCCACGCTGTGTTTCCGAATATATATTCAAAGTCAATATTTTGTATGCATTTTAACAATATTTTTTCCACTGTGATAAGACTACACATTCATGTGTCATATAAAATGCAAAAGAAGATTGATTTTTATCCAGATTAAGAATAATAAGTTGATTTAATAAAAAGAAATATGTAAAAGAAAGAATGACAAAAAAAAGTATGCTCATTAATCCAATGGTAAATGAAGAATTTAATGGAAGCGAAGAAATACATCGTTCCATGTTTCATCTTCGTCGATTTAGTTTGTAATAATAAAAACAACATGCGTGATCTATGCGATTTTATTTCATTAATCTTTCTCTAATTTATTTTTTCATTCAGATTTATGTTCATCAAATTTTTCTCAGGTATATGAAATAATCTGGATGTTATACTCCGTTTTATTTTAGTATATTCCAGTTTATGATAATTAGTTATGGAAGCGAGAAGTAAGAGAAGATATTTGAAAGGCAACATTCTCGTGTTGGATTCTAAAATCTCTTTTCTGTCTGTCGAGTCCGTATTTTTCTCTTTTTCTCAGCTAGAATTGAAAGTTCATAACAAGCATGAGATTTTATATTGTTTTACATGTTTTTTTAAATGATTAACATACATCATCCTGAACTTTCATCTATTGTTAAAAAGTTTTATCTTCTGCATTGTGCGTCTTCTAATTTTAACCTTACGAAACGTTCTTTTCCAAAGTATCTTTTTTTGCTTTGATAAGTAGATAGATCTTTAGACCGATACATCTTCATCTTGAAAGCGTCACTAATAAATTATTTAAAGAATGATAATCAACTGTGTCTAAACTTATATTTTCATAACCATCTTTAATTTTTTTGGTCTAAGAGTAAGTAAGACGGAATATGGCAAATAATGTTTGTTAATCAGTCAATGACAAAATTTATTTGTTTGAAGCGTGTTTCATTTGATATTGATGATTGAACGATCAAAGCATTGTCGTTGTTCTTTTTTTTACAGATGTCATTTATGAATATAAGCATTATGTGGTAATGCAGCAACAACAACTTGAATTGCTTCTCGTTTCTATTTGTATTATACTTCTAATTTTAATTTTACTTAGCGGATATGTTTATGCATTTTCAATTTGTTGTATTCGTCGATTTCATAAAGTGAATCATCTGCTGACTCTAAATGTTTGTGTGGCAACTATAATTGGTACCAAATTTTGGACGATCTATTTTTTAATGAGTTACTTTTATCCAAATATATTATGGACACCACAAAGTTGTTTACCAATAATTTATGTACAAACAATGGTTAATTGTCAAGTCACCTATGCCGTGTGTGTCGTATCATTTAATCGACTTTGCACAGTCATCTATGGACAAACAACATTTTTTCGTACAAAACGTGGAGTTGCTCTCTCTATTGGAATTCAATGGTTCATCGGAGCAACATTGCCATTACCAACATTTGCATCAGACATTCAGGTATGAAGTTTTTTTTTGTTCGAAAGATCATTTTGATCGAACGCTTATATGCATACGGATAGCCAACCTAAGGCTAATATTTTTTTAAATTAACATTGATAATGTTTTACTTCTTAGGAGGTGTGTATGTTTTATTCCGTAGCTTCTCAAAAGAGGTACTTTTTAAATAGACATTCAGTCAATTAACATATCGTTATAGCTATTTATAATTGTGGTCTAAATCTGGAAACTCTTAATTTACGAAATATAACTAGAATGAATCGTGAGATCTTGTTTTAATAATAATCGCTATATTTTACATAATATCGACTGTCTTTGCATAATGTATTAGATGCAGTAACTGTTCCTCAAAATACTCAACATAAACAAATAGCGACTACATAAATAAGTAGCTATAAAAACGTATTAATTCATATTAAATATCTCTAAATCCTATGTCATTTTTCAACCCCCTACCGTTTGTTCGAAAACAACAAGTAATGTTTAATAACATCCTGAGCTTAATTTTAAAAATAAATAATATTTATTTATTAACCTTGCTAAATGATTGAAAAGTGCTTCGTATTAAACACCTATTAATCAAAGCTTTTGTGAAAGTTTGATTTTATATAAATAGCAAACACGCATTTAAATAGCTATCAAGATTTAAGTAGGTGACAACTATTTAAAAAAGCTATAGAAATATTGAACAAGTATGGAAGAATTAAATAGTTATGGAAAACTTTAATTAGCTATGAAAAAAAGTCAAATAACTGTGGAATGTTTAAATAGCTTTGACAAGTTGTATAGCTCTGAACTTTGAAAAAGTTATTAAGATTTAATTAGCTATGGAAATTTATATAGTTGTACATTTTTCAAAGTGTTTTATGTTAAGAAAAACTATAACTCGTCTGAGAGTGAATCATTTTATTCATGATTACAACAAAATCTTCTGATTTCATTTTTAGCATTGTCTCATAACAGGCCTCATACTCAGTTATCAAATATACACGTTAATAATTATTGTGGTATTACCATCGATTTTTATTCTAATTGCCAATACAATCATCATCATGCGTACAATTCAATCATCACGCAGAGTTCAACCAATAAGCTCTATCTCATTAAAAACGATTAATCACCGTCATGATACGTATTTACTCAAACATATGTTTCTTATGTTTAGTATATTTGTAGGTGGTTGGACACCCATCTATATTGTAGGAGTAATTAATTGGAACGGGTCTGCCATTCCACATACAATTCAACGAGTAATCACAATTTTGCCTATTTTGAGTCAACTTGGTGATATGATCAATTTATTCGTATACAATCATGCACTATGGAGATTTCTAATCAGTAAAACCCAGAAATCAATATGATGATAATTATTTTTTATTGATCTGAATGAAATTCAATAAAATATATTTGTACTACAGGATATTTTGCTGTAAATAAAGAGCAAAAATAATCTGCTATGCTACTTGTTTAGTGTTGATCATAGAGAATGTGAAGACATTTGCCAAAAAAATCTTCTAACAATAAACGTTGAAATAATTTGATTATGTCTTTCATAAAGTAAGATAAATTTCGAAAAACTTAATCGATTTCATCCAAAAATTTTCAATCTTCAATCATTGCGGCACTATGAAGTTTGTACGATGTGTGATTTGAATGTCATCTATATTTACTTAAGTACAATTCGAAGTTTAACTCAGATACACTAATCATTATTGTGACAATTTACTTCTATCTATGAAGAATGGCAGAGATTTAATTCAACGGATAGTAATTTCATCAATTGTTGTATTCGACTGTCATTTCAAAGCACTCCATGATAAGATCATTGAATTATTGCACGATCTCCGAAATCTTATACGCTTCAACATTTAATGTTGATATAGGAAAAAGAATAACAACAGTTTAATTCGGCGAAAATGCATGTAGTCAATGTTTTCTAGGAAAATTAGAAACATGAAAATGCAAAATAATGAAAGTAAATCTAACGAGAAAGTTCAAGGTTTAGGTGTTCACATAGCAAGGCGAACATTTTGCGTAATACCCTTCTATTTGTAGTGTTGCATAATTCCAATTCAAAACATACATATAAATACAAATCGATTTTCACTCGTCATGTTACACATTCATAATACAACTCAAATCAGAGTCAAAGACATTTCAAATATCATCATACGGCATTGTATTCATTTCAACTTATGATTTTGATTCTATTCTCAGTCAGATATTAAACAATGTCAATATGTTCAACCACTAACTTGATTTAAATTTATACTAATGCCCAGAAATTTTTCATTAAAATGCATTTGTCTAACTTGTCAAGAGCACACAAGTGAAAAAGAGCTAAAATCAAGTTTTCTTTGATAAACTGATTACTTTGTTTTTGTCTAAGCTGTAAATTAAAACACTCAAGTTAATCAAAAGAAAATCTGCTCTTTCTCCTTGAGAATACGTCAGCATAATGATTATCACCTGTTTTCTCCATTTTGCTTCTTTTATTGTGCTATTTTCACGTCTATCTATGATATGTGTTTTATTCTGTCTTCTTCTCTCTTGCTAGTTTATATTGTGTCTCGTACGATCTCTACATAATGGATACAGGAAAAATAAAAAAGGTGGTGACTGATAGCCCGCTAAGATTCTTCATAATCAGTATCTGAAACTAGTACAACAGCTTTTCACTGTAGAAAATTCATTCAAAACCAGCGACAATTGATTAGAGATAATGTCAACGTTAGAAGTTAAGTAAAAGGTCTAAAAGAATGGCAACTCTGTCTTTCGTTCATTTAATTATTAAACTTATTAACATGTATCATATTCAATGTACAGATTGAGATGTTTAATATATAAAAGTTAAACAAAAATCAAAATTTAGGAAGAAATGTATTCTTCAAAAGAAAAACATATTCATCAGTACTGAACGAACTGATTATTTCAATAGCATCAATCATAATTAGGTGCAGTACAAACGAATAGTATTCAGTTTGACATGACAATAAAATAAAGATTTTTATATCTTTCTTTTATATATGCATGTGGATGTAGGTATGAGTATTTGTGTGTGTAAACAGGGAAGGTATTAGTTATCAGTCATTTCTAAATCCTCATATCTACATTTACATTCTAAATATATAAAAATAGAGGAATAAATAAATAAACTTTTGATTATATTACTTGTTGTAATCCATCAATAGTTTTTAAGGGCGCTTCTAAAAAAACTCGATCTTATATCAAGTAAATTTAAATTGCATAAAACGTTCAGGATATGTTGGGACTTTAGCAAGGAGGCTTTGGTAAAATTTTCAGTACTGTACGATAATGTTTTCAAGAGATACTCAGCAAGAATGGACAAAAATAGCTCATTGGACAACTTAAAATTCTCTATGATCCTTCACTCTATATACCTGTGAAAGTTTTTGCTTGAAACAGAACGTCAGAATGTAGGACATGACAGAGTGCTGGGTTTTTTTTTCAGTTCTTACTTTTTCAACCGAGGAAAAAGAATAAAACTTTCAGTGTCTCGATAAACTCAAAAAAGAATAGTGCTCTAATAGTGAAAATACTCTTTGATATAGTAATAACAAAGTCTAATTAAAAAAAGACGTTTTTATGCTCTGCGTCTTGACATGTTCTTTCAAGCAAACAAAAAATTAAATATATCGAATGAACACTCACAGGCAACTCTAAGTTGCGCAATCAAAAAAACATAAACAGAGAAAAAGCATATCTTTAAAGCAGCAGGTAACGAAAATTATCAAACATTTTTTTTCAAGAAACTCTTTGCCCAATAAAAAAAAAAGAAACCAAGTCGTTTATGAAAAATAAGACATTGCACTATTTTCCAATGCATTTATTTCAATTTCGATTTTTATGACGAAAGTTAACTTTGTTTTTTTTTCTAGGGAAGTGTTGAGTATTTTTTGATTAAGTAAATTCAAATATAATTTCATTATAATCAATATTGCTAATCTATTGTTCAACTATTTGTTTAGTAATATTTCGTAGCTATTATTTTTTCGAATATTTTTATAGCTGAAAATTTTGGTTGTGATGCTTTCATTTCTTATAAGTTCTGCACATCATGTTTCTACAAAGTCTATTAACATGTTTTTTCTTGCTCTGCGAATTAACATTCAAGCTATATGAAAATAAAAAATGGATTATCAAATATTCATATTTCTCATTAAATAACTGAGATATTATTGATAAATTATCTAGATTAAAATCAAGTAGACTACATAAATCATTAAGTTGAATTTGATATGATGTAATTATTGCAAGTTATTCAGTCCAATAAAAAGCAAAATATTTCATAACAAGATTCTCTAACTATGCCAACATTAATTTTATTCAATGTTTTTAGATAATCTGGTAAACATTCAATTTTTCTAACTTAAATTTCATCTAAACAAAAAAATCGATATGCTTCAAAAAAAAAAACTTGTTTAATTATTGTTGTTTTTTTATAATCTGATCCTTGATTTTTTTTTCAATAAATAATTCTCTTTGTTTTAATTTCAAATTCCTTCATTAGAAATCAAAATAAAGTATTGCACTTGTACAACATTTCGTTCCTGTGCACGACCTGTACAGAAATTATTTATCCGTACTCTACTTCTACCAAGATACGGGCATCCTACCAGTAAGT